AAGAGAGCAGTTTTCGAAGCAGCTGCTGAAGTACCCTCCGGGTCACCAGCAGTCTCAGGTAGGGGCAGCTGGGGCAAGCCCACCATGGACGGCGGGCAAGGGAGAAGCCACCAAGTCAGCCAACCCAGGGAGGCACCCTGGGACTTCTGAGCGGATTGGGTTGGACAAGACAAGTGGTATCGAGAAATACCTCTCATCTTCATTCTTTTTTGAGGCAGGTCCAGTTTGAAGCCTAAAAGTAACTACAAAGATTAAAGGAGATAGCAGTGGGGTCAGTTTTACACTTTATAAGAATTTACCACAAATCTTTTCTGTTAAAAGTTTAAAAAAACTTATACTCTCCTGGTTTACTATATCTGCAAGCAAAGAAAAAACATCTTACAGTTTAAGGGTCTAAATGGCCACTTAGAATATGGAACATGTAGGTATAAGGACCTCACAGCAGGTCTTGGATTCTGCCTGAAGTAAAATCATACCTAATATTCAATCACCAACTTACGGTCTCCTCTTCTTTCTGAAAATTCAACGATTGACCAAAATTTCTTTACTCCAATAAATAGCTTAGTGTATTTAAGTTACAGTGTAAGTCCCCAATTTAAAAACAACAACAACAAAACACTCCAGCGACACCTGGGTGGCTCAGTCGGTTAAGTGTCTGCCTTCAGTTAAGCGTCTGCCTTCGGCTCAGGTCATGATCCCAGGTCCTGGGATTCAGCCCCATGTAGGCTCCCTGCTCAACCAGGAGCCTGCTTCTCCCTTTGCCTGCTGCTCCCCTTGCTTGTGCTCTCTCTCGGACAAATAAAATCTTAAAGCAAAACAAACAAAAAACCCCTCCAAATCGGAAAATATAAATTCCTCTTTTTGCCCTAGGTTTTTGAAACTAACACATACAGATAAAATTTAACATACAGCAATTCTCATGCACTAAACTCTTCAACTGTACAAGCACCCATAATTTAGGATATTTTAGAGTAGCAGGGGAAAAGAAAGTAAACCTCAACTTGCACTCAGATGAATTTCCTCAAGGGCCAAGTGCATCATCCTTGTTGTACATGAGTATGTGGAGACAAAACCGATGATCAGTATCTAATACGACCTCTCTTCCTTTCACTGCTAACAAACCCCGAATTAACCTGATCTTGTCACATTCTATAAAATGTTCGTGTGCAGATATTTCACAACAGCTATTGTTCAACTTCCAGGAAACACGTAACTTCAGTTATGAAATAAGTGCCAAGACAGTTTGCGAGCACAAACAACAGTATAGGAACTTAGACACTTCACAGAAAATTAGAATTCAGCCATGAATGAGGTGCATGGTCTCTGGCTCTCAATTCTAGTACTCTATTTGGAAGGAAAGGAGAAGTCAAGGTATCTAGCAGGACTGGCCATGGTACGGTTATTTTTTTGGCCAGAGGCATGGGGAGGGGTAGTCATTAGAGGGCTGATGATTAGAAGCATTCCAGCCACATTCCTCTGCAGCAGAAGGGCTGTAAACGCAGCTGCAAACACTCAGCCACCAGCAGCCTGCCTGGCTTGTCAGTGGACACCCGGCCCCATAGTTTTTGTTGAACGTATGCAAGAGATTAAGAAGGACTTGGGAGATATTCAAACTGAGCGACAATCATCTACAAATGGGTTTCCTTTAATACTGATCTAAAAATACTGGAACCTAAGCCTCCTGTTCAGTAAAACTGGGTGATGAAGAGGGATGGCGAGTATCTGCAGATATTAGAAACTGTGAAACACCCGAAAACGTTCCTATCTCAGTGCCTGTGACAGGACATCTAAACAAAACTGTGCACTGCTGAAAACTCAAAGTAAAGCAAGGTTACTACTGCCATTAGAAAAAAAGATGCAGGGGCACCTGGATGGCTCAGACGGTTAAGCATCTGCCTTCTGCTCAGGTCATGATCTCCAGGTCTTAGGATCGAACCCCACAGTGGGCTCCCAGCTCAGCGGGGAGTCTGCTTCTCCCTCTGCCTCTGTCTCTCCCCTGGCTTGTGCTCTGTCTCTGTCTCTGTCTCTCTCTCTCTCTCTCTCAAATGAGTAAAAAAAAAATCTTTAAAAAAAAAAAAAGGAAAAAAAGATGTAGCTCATGACGAAATGTTAAGGGTCAGTCCAGTAAGTCTTTATGTCACACAGGTATTAATTCAATAGGATAGTAAACTCCTCTAGAGTGAAACAGGCTCCCTCAGTATGTTGTGAGCTTTTTCTGGTAAGCAAAGTTTATCAACAGGGGGCCTGGGTGGCTCAGTGGGTTAAAGACTGCTTTCCGCTCAGGTCATGATCCTAGGGTCCTGGGATCGAGCCGTGCATCGGGCTCTCTGCTCATGGGGAGCCTGCTTCCTCCTCTCTCTGCCTGCCTCTCGTCTACTTGTGATCTCTGTCAAAAAAATAAAATCTTAAAAAAAAAAACAAAAAAACAAAAAAACAAAGTAAAGCTTATCAACACAAAGGGAAAACTACCTTTCACTTAAAAGCTGCTAATCTATTCTTCTGCTGAATTTAAACAACATATTGAGAATAACTAAGTTCGATCTGCATAATTGAAATTTTCAACTCCTTCAATTAAGCATCCAAGAAAATTCAATGCTTCACCACCAACAAGCCAGCTAAATGGAGCACCTTATAGAAAGACCAGCTCCTGGAAACCTTGCTGCTGAATAATGAAATGTGCTACCAGGCACAGAGAGAATCGCTCAGTGGTTTCAGATTCTGGCCCAAAAAAGCAGAAAGTGCTTTCTAGTTGGGCACTTTCCACACATCCTGGCTTCTTAACAATGAATTCATCAACTCCTCCAGTCCCTCTTTATTCTCAAACAAGATTGATCCAGAGGGGTCTCTACCAGTTAATCAATTAGTTTTATATTCTAAAATTATAACCTGGGTAATTTGCCATGGCATACTACTGTTTAGTATCCAAACTCTTAACAAAATCAAGTACTCTTCTAGATTAGAAACTGGACTTACTCTCTTTATGCTATTACAGTCATTTGGATTTCAGGTTGCTGGGTCTATTTTCGAATGTGAATTATTTACTGGAGCGGACCATTTACACTAAGTTTCTGGCAGATTACACTACTTCCTTCAAATTTGATCGGAGGAGGTGAAGAAAGCTCTATTTTGATGGGAAGGTTAAGACAAACTGTGGACTTCTGCTAAAAATACTCTCACCTTCCTTTTATGCAAAGGTCATGGTTTTAGTATAAGCAGTAGAAATAAAGAGTAAGTGTTTTGAACTCAGGTACTAATACCTCTTTCATTTCTTCTATGGACCTAAAAAAAAAAAATAAGTCAGTGAAGTGAAGTTGCATTTGGTCCTGAACACTCAACACAGTTTCCTATTTAAGGGTGCTTAAAGTTAAGACTGTACTTCGTAACAGGTGTCATCATTCATTATGGTATATACACTCCTGCTCATTGTTTTAGAGCATATAAGGTCTTGGCACAGAGCAAAGTTTCTCAACTTTGACCCTGTTGACAACTGGGGCCTGGTAATCCTTCACTGTGCGGGTTGTCTGCATTCACTGTAGGACTTTCAGCAGCAACCCAAGCCTCTACTTACTAGGGGCCAGCAGCACCCTTCAGTTGTGACGACCAGATAGGTCTGTCCCCTAGGAAGCCAAATCAACCCCACAATGAGAGCTCCTGGCATAGAGTTTAAACTAGCCAAATAGTCACACGAGATGGAGACTTGAATTTTCTTATTCTTCTCAATGACATTTCAATAGTTGTATATCCCAAATCCTTTGTTAAGTGATCAAACAATTTATTTCCTGTGAATAGCAACAACAAAAATCCAATTTCAGTTTTATGTATAGCTGAAAATGCTTTAACTTCAGCAATTTGACAAACTTTTAATCTTTTAGTTTAAAATGTTTAAATTTGAGATTAAGCCTTTTAACTTTATAACTAGTTAATGGAAATGAATCTTCCTATCTCTACTGAGGGCCAAACCTTTTGTCAACTGAGGAAAGCTATTTCTGCTACTTTCAAAAGATCTACTCCCTGCAATCTCAGATCTGCTTTTGGGGGGACAGGGGCGGAGAGAGAGAAAGAATCTCCTGGTGCCCAGAATCTGCTTCAGAGCCCAGGGGTCTTTGCCACAATGTCAAGTATCTAATAGTAAGTCCCTTCTTAGAGCAGATCCTTCTTCTCTAATGTAACTGGCTTTCTTCTTTATTCAAGAGATATATTAACATTAATTTTAGAAAATGCTGCTTTTGCACATTAACTGCTAGTTCTGTGGGATAGTTTGTTGTTAAAAAAAAAAAAAAAAAAAGATTATTTATTATTTCAGAGACTGGCCTGAAATGGAAGCATACCTAATTCATTTGCTCAAATTTCTCCAAAGGCTGTGGCACCCTAAATTCACGAATAGTCAGAACCTTTCTATATATACATGTAAACAGATATGATTCTGTGTTATGGAATATGGATGCTGACTTTGCCAATGTTCTACTCTTTGGCCTTGCAAATAACCACTCGTATGTACAGCCTTATAGGGAATGAGAATTTGGAGAGAGAGATTAATCACTTAATTTTCTATCTTTTTTTCCAGTGCTTCCCAAGAGAATGAGAGCCAAGTTGTCAGGTTTATTCCTCCAATTTCTATGGAAACAATGACTGGTCCTCCTGTTAGCTCCTTTAGTTAAGTTTACTTAGATCCAAAGACAGTGGTTAAAGTTCTTGATTTAATAGTCTTTTGAATTCTTGAACAATCATGGTTCATTTATCACTCTAAGACAGAAGGAAGCCGGTTAAAGTCAGGTGTATAAAAATGCCTCCTAACTCAACCTTATGCACTTAAAGAAAAATGCATATGTACACACAGACACACAACAGTCTTTCCAACAAGAGCACAAATGAAAATGTTTTCTCCATCTCATGCACTGCTGTCTTCCAGGCACAAGGAATGAAAGCAACTAGATCCCGGAGAAGAGCAGCCTCTAGAAGTTACTAACATTTCATCAAATATAAAGATAACAGATACCTACCATCAAAACTGCCTTGCTCAGAAGCAAGGTGCAACAGCTGATTGTATGTTTCAACTGAAGGCTGATAAACAAAGACTCCAGAGTTGAAGCAGTCAGGCCACCCTGGGTCTGGTGCCGCCGACAATTCTTCTCGCTCAAAAAGATCATCGATATTTGCTAGGACCTGATTCGAAGGGGGGAGGGGGGTGGGAGGGAAAGCATTACAGAAATGTTCTGCCCCAGCATACTCTTAAGTTCTCCCTAAGTTATCCAACACAAAAGATGCAATCTGCTGCTGATCTTAACCATTCAGATGACAGCTGTCAGGTAGCCTGGGCTTACTCTCCTCCATCACCTGATGCTTTCAATGAGTGGTTTTATCTGAACTTCACTGGCAAGTCTTGAGAGCATTCCTCAAATGCCCAACTGGTCTCAGTTACTATATACATCTTTCCAGTCACCAAAGCCACACTTACCAGAGTATCTGCATCCATGAACACACATTTTGAATACTGCGTAAGTGACCAGCAATGGAGTTTCGTTAACGTGACACCCAACTCAGGCCTCTTCATCAAGGTTAGATGTGCAGAATCACCACTGTCCAAGACGTCTACGGTGATGACTTCATCGAAGACTGTCTCTAAAACTTTTCTGCCAAAATCAAATCCAGAAAACAGCGCTTAGTATCTTTTCAGATAAGTAACAAGTAACCCATCTAATGTAAAATTGTATTCTTATTAGTCTACCCCATCAATTACTAGAGCAATCTGTTACTTTAATAGTACAATCTCTTAAATAGGTGGTCTTAATTTACTTCAGGCCAAATTGTATCAATTTGCATGGGCAACTCACTTCACTAATAAAAATTGCTTTGGTGAGGATAAAGTACTTGTCTTACAAATTATTATAGCAGCACTTTTCTATTGTTTATTGTATCACTGAATACCAGGCAAATTACAGAAACCACCTCTCAAAATTTGACTCCCTTTTAAAAGAGCACATCTTTACAACAACCTATGTATTTAACAATGATATTTCATTAGTTACTTCTGCCGATTACTGCATGTTTTACAAATAATGCTAAGTGCATATAATACCTGCAATAAAGCTTATAAATAACCATTTTTGCTGAAGCAGTTGACAGCGAGTCATGTGTCCCACAGGACGTTAAAGGACTTGGTTATTTAGCTGCCAGTTATTAGAATCAAATATAACCAACACTTACAGTATGCTTAGCACTTTTGGCATAATGAGAGACTCACTTTGGTTTGTGAGGTGCAATACCTCTCCAGGCCCCAAATTAACTCAAGATTTATTTTAGAAAGCAATCTTGAGGTGGGTTAAGTGGAGGCAGACTTAAATAGAACACTAAGCTCAGAGCAGGGGAACACATACCATAAAGCCCCATCATCACTACACATTTATAACAATAGGAAACATGTAGAACAAAACTGGTATTGTATTCTCTGTCTCCACGCTGTAGAAAAAGATGTTTCAGTTCACACAGTAAACATCAGCTTTTTAAAAATAAATGGTCAGTGGAGGCATTTACCACAGTAGTGGGGGAAAGGGAGACTACATGTGTCTTCTTGCACACACCCTCACTAAACAGACTACAAATTAAGATGTACACATTAGGAAACAGTCTTTTGTGCATTTTCCTAAATTACCCTTTATGAATAAGGTTATTAGTGTGAGAAGTATCTACCAATATACAGCAGCCTTTTCAGAGGTCCTTGGCATGTGCTTTCATTTCTTGTAAAAAAAAAAAAAAAAGTCACAAAAAGGGCATTTTCAATTTCTAAGAGGGATAGGAAAACAAAAATAAACACCTACAGAGCTGCTAGTGTGCCCAGATATTTCTGTAGTATTATGATCTAGGTAGTTCAATCAAATATTTCAAAGTTTAATACCAACAAATCAAAGTGAACTAACCCAATCAACCAGCAGTTTGTGCCCCCCCCCCCCCCCCAGGGTGCTTTCTTCACACCATCCCTAGTTCAGAAAATCCTGGAAAATATTCTAGTCTATTAAATGATAAACACAATTTTTTAGATTACAAATGCCAACTGAGAGTGGGGAAAACTGCTACTTACTTTCAGTAACCTGAGGTTTCCCTGGTTAGAAACAGGAAACAAAGTAGCCCCTCTGCATTTGGGAAAGAAATGCAAGTGAAGTGTGATGACATAAAAGGAATGCCTGGACTAAAACATTCACTCAGGTCATCCTAGAGGCCTTGCTTACAGGAGGGTCCTTCTCACAGCTGGAACCAGTAAGAGCATGGGTCAGAACCGCACCTTCCAGAAGGGAGCTCAGCTGGAACAGTTCCCAAGAGCTAGGAAGAGGTTTCAGCTCCAGAAATCCATCACTCTGCAATTCTGATCTTTCTCCACCTAGTGCTCAACCCCTGTAAATGGTATGGCCTCAATGCCCAGTGATGCCAGAAATGGGATAAAGACTTCAGAGCTCCACCGACAGACCGGCAGGAAGATCCTCACCTCATGGAGTCGGAGACCTGAGGAGTGGCAAGCACGGCCAGCTTCCTGGTGGTCCTGTGCTGCTTCAGAGATGAGCCCAGGACTAAGGCTCCTTTGGCGTAGGCATCGTTTGTGGTCAGTGTCACAAAGGCCTGATCTTAATACAAGAGAAAGAAAACAACAACAACAACAACACACTCATTATTAATAATATCCTACCTGGAAAAAGCTACCCCAGGACCCTTTTCAACCACTAACTTGGCAAAATCAGCTCCTTTGAGATCAACTTTCTCTATTAATAAAGGAGCAGCTTCTTTGGGAGTAAGGAAAGAACCCAAGTGCCCACTTTAAGAATGATTCAAGACCATTCTTCAGCATCTTTGGCAATCTCCAACAGGCTGATTAGCTTTAAAAATTAAACCCAGTTTAGAGTCTGAACACACAAAATTCTCAGACTAAATAGTAGCTTAACACCAGAAAGTAAACCTCAGGAAATTAACAGGTGCTAACAACATCAAGAAGCACATTTTCTGTTTCCTACAAGTACTTTCAGCCAAGCACAAATGCAACTAATGACCTCAACTGACAGCATCTGAAAGCAGAGGCCATATTCTTCATTCTGATGCTTAGGCTTTATATATTGTTTCCTCAACCTGGAGCAAAGGCACCCACACCACCCACCACATCTCAAGTCACTGAGTGTCTGCTCAAATATCACCTTGATAGACAGGCCTTCCCTCTTTAGTGCTTCTATCTAACCAGCAGCCAATCCATGTTAACTGGCTTTAGGGACCACCTCAAAAGCACTAACAAACTTGCTTTTCTTTTTTTTCTTTAGGAGAACCAAGCAGCAACCCCTAACCTGTATCCTGGGTCCCCTCAACACACACACACACACACACACTCAATCTCGCAGTTGCCAGAAGGGAAGGCAAATACAGGGATTACCCCTCCCTCTAGTTCTCCAGTTCCCTGGAATGAGTCTGAGGTCCACTCTATCTGAGGGGATTCTAGCAAGGCAGTGGGCGTCCAAATGTACAGGATACTTAGGATCAAACAGTGGCAGGGGTCACTTGGGGGCACTGTTGTCCAACCCATGAGTTGGGACATTTTGTCATGAAGTCACGCTCTGTCTCATTTTCCCTTTGCCCGTTTTCCAATGTGGAGGCTGGATGGAGGCAGAGTGAATTCCGTTGAGAAGCCAAAGAAAGTTGTAGGCTGTCAGGGGGCTACAGCAGGAGCCACAAGCCAGCCGCACACCAGAGAGCATCCCGCAGGACACTCTTCCTGAACAAGATAGTAACTAAGCTGTAGAGAGACTGGTGTCCCCCACTCCTCAAGGGGCACCGGCTTCCCACCTAGTCACACTCTAGGAAAGCTCAGAACAGTAACCTGTCCTTTGACGTGCCCATCAATCTCTGCCTTGACTTGTTCCTTCAACCCATGATGAGATGGCAACATTTCAGACAGTCTGCCCCAGGAGTATGTAATCTGGGGGATGAGGATTAATGTTTTAACTCAAAAGCGGTCCAGATTGGGGGAAACTGGATTCAAGTTTAATAAGGTAAAGGGGACTCAAGGGCTTCAGGAAGCAAGGATGTGGATACTGTCCAAGATGAAGTAGGGACAGGACAGATGCTTAGGAACATGAGCTGGAACACCTAGCAAACGTTACACAGGAACAGGAGAGTCCAGTGACAGCTGGGTAAAAGAGAACACCTCCAGCTACATCTGCAATCTTACCGCACTTCAGCTGCTCTCGTAACAGCGCTATTAGCTTCAGCAACATCGGAAGGACCGACCAATGATCTCCGAGCTTCCCCTTCTCCGGGCAGAGTCAACCCCCGCAACAAGTGAGCCGGCGCACGCCCACCGCCTGCGGCCCGCTCCCCTGGGGCGCTCGCCCAGCTCTAGCTTTCCGCAACCCGGCCCCAAAGGCCTAAAAATAGGCTCGGCGTGGCGGCCAGCGCCCCGGCGGCCGGGAGAGGAGCCCGGCCGGGCCGGGGCCGCCGCCCTCCGGGCCTTGAGGCCGGCCCTTCCCGGTGTTCCTGCTTGCGGGAGGCGGGGGAGGCCGCCGAGCGATCCCGCCGCGCCCCAGGGCGCGGGACAGGCGCCCCCAGGAACCGGCTCCCCACCCCCACCCGGCCCCTCCGCAGCTGCTCCGCCCGCCCTTCACGGTGAGAGCAGGAGGAAGGGCACGGAGACGGAAGCAGGAACGGGGGCTTCGGCAGAGGGCCCAGGCGCCGCCAGGCTGCCACCCCCACGACAGCGTCCGGGGCTCCGCGCCGCAGCTCCGGCGCCGGGGGGCGGCGGGGCAGCGGCTGACGCAGGAAGCGGCACGCCCGACTGCAGCCAGCCTGCAACTTTGCGGCAGTCCTCGTCCTGCCAGGAACTCCCCCGGGGCTGCGGGGCGGGGAGGCGGCTGGCGGCGGCAGCGCGGGGCGAGGAGCCGGAGTCCGGGGGGCGGTGGGCGGCGCGGCGCGTACCTGTCATGGTGCTGCCGAGGGGGGCGGGAGGCCGCCGCAGCCGCAGGTTGCTGGCTGGGAGAAGCGGGGCGCCCGGAGGGAGCGCGGCCAGGGAGGAGGCGCGGCGGGAGCCGAGCGTGGGCCCGGAGCGCTCTTATAGCGGCCGTCACGTGGCCGCGCACGCTCCCGGCGCCTGCCGGTATCCTCCCTGCTGAGACGCCGGCGGGGGCCGCCGGTGGGGGCCGCAGACCCCCGTCCGCTCCCAGCCCCTCCACCCCCGGGGCTGGGCTCCCGGCCAGCTTCCGAGGGGCACCTGCCCGGGACCTCGCGCCTCCGCATCCGCCCCCTCAACCGGGGATTTGGAACGGAACTTTGGGGCAGAGCGTGGCATCAGCAGGACAAACTCCCGAAGAAGCCAAGGGTTAGAGAACTCTAAAAAATAAAAATCCCAGGTCACTCTACTGACAATAATTCACTTGAACTGTTTGAAATAAACAAGGTTTAAATTTCACTCTTCTCCTCGAATTACAAATCAGCTTCTGGAAACAGTTTTTGGTATTCTCACAATGGTCTTGTAGCTTTGACTGAAAAATGGAATGAATTCTTCACTGTATTGTTCAAATTCTTGGAGCCCTCTGCATCCATTAGATAAGGTTTTGTTTACTCCTTACAACATCCCCACGAAGTAGGTGGTAGCCTTATTTTACAGATGAAGAAACTGAGTTACGGAAAGGTTGAGTTACTTGTCTGTGGTCATTTCAAACGGAGGAGGTAGGCAGTTTGGTTTACAGAACTGACCTTCCTACCGGTAAGGCTATGACATCCCAGGTAGCTGGTGCCCTAAAAAAAATTAGCAAATGATGGTAACTCTGGTTGAGTAATACAGTTGTTTAGGTTAATCTGTTTCACAAATCATGAAAAGGTGAATTTGTCATTTTGCTAGGAAGTTGAGAAATAGCTTTCTATTGTGATCACACCCTTCTCCTCTCCCCATCCCCTCCACCCAGCCCAAACATACCAGGAAAGGAATAGGTAGTACAATTCTCTGCCAACAACAGTTGCTCAGTAAATGCTGAATGGAGGCCAAATAGGAAACTGACAACATCAGTTCAAAAACGAAACAGATACATAAGAATAAGTGTTTTATTGCGAAGGTGGTATTGATATTCTTAAACCAATTATCTTGGTTTCCTCAAGTGTAGGCCTGTACCACCCACATTAGAATTGCTTAGGGCACTTGTTAAAATGTTAATTTTTGGTCCTAAGTCCAAACCACCTGAATCAGAATCTTAAGGGTGGAATCTAAGAATCAGCATCTTAATTATCATTCTTCAGAAATCTCTCTTGATCCCTTCCCCGTCTCCCATCATGGCATGGAGACCACTGATTCACTTGGAAAGACCTCCTGGTTACTTAGCTTTATAAACTTCCTTAGTAGGAAGTGGAAATGTGGGGGCAAAGGTACAATGGAAGGGTGTTCACGTAGTCAAACCCTGTGGGTTCAGAAGAGTTGATGCTCTTTAAGGAATATGAAGGCTGTGCGTGAACTGTACCCACCTGGGGGAGGGAAAACAGTGGTGCTCCAGGTCTAAATTGCTTCTTTCTATACTGATATAGAAAATATGAAGTAGTGAAGTGTACATCTTTCATTCAGGAACCCTCCTGCCCTTGATGATTCTTTACCACCTGCTGCTTGACAGCGGAGTGTCCGGGCTGAGCTTTCACAAAGCGTGATGCTGGATCCAAAAGGGCAAAGTCAGTAGAAGATCTGGGGACAACTAGAACAGGAGGGAAAATTTCCTTAGGAACAAGCTCCTCTCTGCTCCATCATCCAGGATGTTTAAGTAAGAGTGGTCATCATAGCCTTCTTTCTTGTGTTTTATGCACATTTATAGTAAGAGAACGTTTATAGGTTTCACCACCTTAATCAAATAGGGACATTCTGAGGTTGCTACAATGTCTCAATTGAGATTACTAATAGTAATCTCACCGCCCAGTTTTCCTGAGGCTGTTTTACACTGAGTTTCAGTTAGGTATGAGAGCAAGGCGTCTCAAACTTAAACGGGCACACAGATTTTCTGGGGATCCTGTTAAAATGCAGATTCTGACTCAATAGTTTGGAGTGGCTCTCCCTGGTGATATCCAGGTTGTGGACCAATTTTGCATAGCAAGGTGATTGAACGTTCTGGATTGAACATGCTAGAAGGATTTAGACGTAGAGGAAAGACAGACAATGTTGTAGTGGGACAGATGTCTGAGAATTTAATTTATTAACTTTTTTTCCAGTGAAACTTGTGTAGCAGAATTTCTAAATCCTTAAAGAAAGATTTAAATAAGTTCAAAAAGAAAACCTACATGGGTACTACCAACTTAGTGTTATCATGACTATTGACCATTTAAACCCATGCTGAATGTGTATATTTAGCAAGGTTGGTCCAAAATTCATTTTTAGTTGGCTTTGGAATGCATTATGTAATTTTTTGGCAGGATACTTAGCCTTCCTAATTATGTTTTGTTTAAGATAATGCTGAAATCAGTTTGCATTCCCTTGAGAACACACACTAATTGATGGTGGGAGCCACTGACCTAGAAATATACTCCAGAGGGCAACCTGCTGGCCTAAAACAAACAGTTCCCACGGACGGTCCATGAAATCAATATACTACATCTGCCCAGACACAGGAACTAACTAGTTAACTAACTACTTAAAATTTTGCCCTTAATTGGTAACACACAAAATCTGTACCTGGAATTGTTGCCAGTGATCACATCCCCATCTAACTCCAACTGAAAGCTTATTGAAGAAATATTATCCTCTGAGGCGCCTGGGTGGCTCAGTGGGTTAAAGCCTCTGCCTTCGGCTCAGGTCATGATCTCAGGGTCTTGGGATGGAGCCCCACATCCAGCTCTCTGCTCAGCAGGGAGCCTGCTCCCCCCTCTCTCTCTGCCTGCCTCTTTGCCTACTTGTGATCTCTGTCAAATAAATAAATAAATTAATTTTAAAAAAAAAGAAATATTATCCTCGGAGGCCCAAAGATGTTCATTCTTCACTTGAAAGCTAGAATCTCGAACTCCACAGGTTGCAAGGGCCTGTTGACTAGGGTATTTTTTTAATGCCTTAAAAACAAAAGACCCAACAACTTTATTAAGATATAATTCAGGGACACCTTGGTGGCTCAGTTAGTTAAACGCCTACCTTCAGCGCAGGTCATGATCCCAGGGTTCTGGGATCAAGTCCAGCACCAAGTCCCTTGCTCAGTGAGGAACCTGCTTCTCCCTCTGCCTGCTGCTTCCCCTGGCTTGTGCTCTCTTGTTCTCTCAGTCTCTCTGACAAATAAATAAAAAAAATCTTTAAAAAAAGATATAATTCACATACCATAAAATTCAGCCATTTAAAATATACAGTTAGATAGTTTTGAATGTATTCACAGGATTGTGCAAATATCATCACAATCTAACTTTAGAACATTTCATCACCCAAAAAGAAAACTATACCCATAAGCAATCACTCCTCATTCTCGCTCTCCCTCAGCCCTCAGCAACTACTAATAATTCTGTCTCTATAGATTTGTCTAGAAAGATTTGCCTATATGTGGCCTTTTGTATTGGCTTCTTTCATTTACTACCTTAATGTTTTCATAGTTTTTTCATGTAAGGGCATGTATCGGTGTTTCATTCCTTTTTATTGGCAAATAATATTTCGTTATATGGATATATGATGTTTTAGTTACCATTCATGAATAAACACGTTGATGAACATTTGGGTAGTTTCCACTTTTTAGATACAGCAAATAATGCTGCTAAGAACATTTATTTGTATCCAAGTTTTTGCTTGACACACACATATATTTTTAAAAATACATACATACATACATACATAGACCTATCTCCTCCCGGATCTATACCAACTGTAGAATTGCTAGGTCCTATGCTAACTGTATGTTTAACATTTTAAGATGGCCAAACTGTTTTCCAAAGTGTCTGCATCATTTTGCATTCCAATTAGTATGAGAATTTCTTAACCAATGTTGTTGTCTTTTATTATAGCTATCCTAATGGGTTTGGAGTAGCATTTCATTGTGGATTTGATTTGCATTTCCCTAATGGCTTGTGATGTTGAGCATTTTTTCATGTGCTTATTGTCCATTTGCATATCTTCTTTAGAGAAATGACTTTACCCATTTTTAAATTGAGTTGATTTTTTCTTATTGAGTTGTAAGATTTCTTTATGTATTCTGAATACAAGCCCTTGTCAGATATATATTGTATAATGTATGAATTTTATTTATTTTTAAAAAATTTTTAAAGATTTTATTTATTTGAGAGAGAGAGAGAGAGAGAGAGCATGAGCAGAGGGAAGGGCAGAGGGAGAGGAAGAAGCAGACTCCCCGCTGAGCAGGGAGCCCAAGGTGGGGATCAATCCCAGGACCTTAGGATCATGACCTAAGCCTAAGACAGACACTTAAACAACTGAGCCATGCAAGCACCCCTGAGTCATATACATATATAATATAT